ATGTTCTATAATCAATCACAACCGTGCAATGAGAGTATAAATCACAATGAAAATGTTTAAGATCTACTTTGCATAGTTATTAATAGCTTCATAAAGTTCAGGGGAAGAGTCTGTTCCTGCCTCAAGCCTGTATTCCTGAGCCTGGGGTGTGTGTGGGGGGAAAGCCTTTCCAACACCTGCTTGCACGTTTCAAAGGGACTTTTGTCTCCCTGAGGATTCTTCTCTCCTGGCATGTGGCAAATGCTGTGCCCTGCTGTTTCTATAAGCCATCAGCAGCCAACTTGTCTGCCTCATATCCCAGCCATATGAGTGATGTCACTGCAAGAACACTGAAAGGTGTTTGCATGTGTTTAGTAACAACTGTGTCCTAACAGAATCAGCAGCAAAAATGGTGTGAGGAGAAGCTGATAAAGCTTAATTGTGGAGAGATTTAGATGGGAGCTGGACATTGGAGCAGGGGTAGGGAGTACATAAAAAAACAGAGAAGAAAATCCATGAATAAATATTGCCCTAGATCTGCATATGGAGAGAAAAACTCTATCATCAGCCTGCAAAGCATTCTGTCAGTGAAAAGACTCCTTTTTCTACGAAAGAAAAGTGGATACAGTAAAAAGAAAGAACCAACAAACTTGAGGACAATTTCCCAAAGAGTTACCATGTCTGCCTGTGGCCAAAAGGACAAAGTGAAAACCTCACCCGTGTGCTACGTTCAGACACCATAGGCAGCCATGATTTGTTTAACCTCTAGTTTGTGCAACTGTGGTTAGCCTATCAGAGATGTAACAAATCTGGGGGGGAGGTTCCCCCTTACTCTCCTCTGAGCAGGGAAAGCTTCCTCCCTAAATAGCCATTGTTGTGATCAGATGATGCTACTCTGAAAGGTGGTACTGAACAAATTGTGGTTTGTAAATTCAGGTGTCAAGAAATCACAAATAAGTACACCCACGGTTAACAAACCATGTTTAAAAACCCTACTTTACAATCCTAGTTTGGTACTAACAACAAACCCTGGACACAAATAACCAAGGTTTGATCAAACAATAGTTCAAAACACCGTTTAGCATGATATTTCAATGCAGCCTTAGAGATTTATTTATCCTTGTAAGCAACATTCAGCAAGCTTCTAACAGCAACATTTGACTTGCAAGATGACAGGCTGGGGATACATACAAATGGAATGAGTGACACTCATTGCAATGATGGCAGATTTGTAATGCTAGTAAACCAAGTTTAAGTGAGAACTAAAAATAAAGTGAATACAAAATACATTGTGAATGTTAGAGTACAAATACAGTACATACTCTGCATGTTTAGTAGAGAACAAATACTAAGTGATCACTGTTGTTCTAAACATGAATGCAACGAGCTACAAAAAGGGAGACAATTGTTTTGTGCCATGATGAATTCACACTATAAACAATACAGCCAGATAGCTACATAACAATGGGATCTCATCCACAAAAGCTGAGGTCATAATAAATCTTAGACCCACATCAAACATTACCTGTTCCCAAAATTCCAAAGTGCCCACAAGCTCAACAAACTTGAGGAACCCTGGTCTAGGGTGTCAGTCTAAGTGCAAGCCAAGTCAGAGTTCAAAGTCAGAGTCAAGATTCAGTCCAGAAGGTCAATTACCAGAGAGCAGAGTCCAGCTCAGAGCACGGTCCAGAAAGCAAGGTCTAGCAGACCAAGGTCATATACAAGAGAAAGCAAGTCCAATATTCAACTCCAAAGCTGGTCTGAAGGACACTGGAGTGGAGCAGAGTCAAGCACTGTGATCACAGAGTCTACCAAGTGATGACTTGTTGCTTCCACATCCAGCAGTCTCCTTTGACCGGCTTTTATAGGCATCTGCTGCAAGTGTTTACTTGCAGCCAACCAGGCCCGTAGCTAACGTTGGGCACGCGGGCCCCATGGGGGCCGGCCTCCTCTTGTTTCTTCTGGGCCACCTCCCTCCTGGGCTGGGCTGCTTTTCCCTTCCAGCTGCTTCCCTCCCAGCTTCTCGAGGTCCGGATCAGCTCAGCTACAGAGCAGATCAGCTTCATTCCTCCCAGCACCTTAAGCGATGCATGCGTTTTGGGACTTGGCGATTTTAAAAGCGGCAGAGCGAGAGGCGCAACTGGCTGCCCCTCTCCTGGTTTAGGAAGGTGCGGACACACACACACACACCCCACAAGCTCACCTCAAACACACGTGGTGCAGCCTGACTATAGGGAACGTTGCTTGGAAATAAGACCTAGGGCGATTCTGCATCTAACATTCCCTCCACATTTTCTCAACAGGGAGGTAAAAATGCCGGCAGAGTCAGCAGCAGCAGACCTGGCGGGGGCAAGGCATCCCAGGAGAGGCAGCCATCTGGGGAGCCGCCTCCTGTCTATCCATGTCAGTCCACCTCAAGAGGGAGGGAGGTGGGGAAGCTCATCAGGCCACTCACTGGTGGCCAGTCACCCAGGGAGGCGGAGGGAAAGCACCCTGGCACCCGCAAGACCCAAGGGTTCATCTGCAGTGCGAGGGCTGTCCCTGCTGTTGGCAGCGGTGCTCTCCTACCCCCTCAGTTGCAGCCAGTTCCACCAATTAAATCAAAGTTAATTGAATTAACTTTGATTTAATTGGCTGGTGCCCCCCAGCCCCCTCCTTCAAAACTCCTTAGCTACCCCCTTACCCCCAAGCCAACTGCTTGGGAGTAACCCTGCAGCTACTCATCATCAGCAAGCAGCTGGCATCAGGCAAAGGAGACATGTGCCTGTCTTCTCTCCTGGAGCTTCATTCTAAGCCTTCATCTCCGGCGCTCAAAGGGTGTGGGTGAAACTGGAGGGCTGGTAATGACCACATGGGTTTCATCTGTTGGAAGTAGACTGGGAGGTGCTGGTGGCTCTGCATCAAATGTTGGCTGTGAACTCTGACAAGCCTGCAGTTCATCTTCTTGCTTACCAGCTTCTGCTGCTTCAGTGCTGGCAACACAGGACTCCTTTTCTCCTGAGGAGTCCTCCTCTCCCGATGGACCCACAACAGAGGGAGACAGAAAGACTCCCCCATTTCTGTGTGTTCTCATTTTAAGTAGCTCTCTGCACAATGCCAGATGTTTTTTTCCCCTCTTTAATTTGGAAATATTCCTTCATGTGGAACTAGGCTGTTTAAAAGGGTAATGTTAGAAGATACAAACGAAAAGTGTTTATGAAGTTTGAGAAACTAAGGAAACAGAACTATGTCTTCCAATGGCTCCATTTATAAAGATTTATTGGAATCTATATATGTGGATCTCTTTCCTGTCTATATGGGGGACATTCTGACCACCCATCTAGCTCAAAATCTTTTGGATTTCCATCAGGAGCTGCCGGAGTAAAGAGGCTATATTCCTATATATGCAATCTGGACTAGTACCCAGTCCAGTAAACCTTCCAGCCCTCACTGAAAAAGGAGTCAAGCAGCATTGTTAGAAATGTTTGTTAGAACTTGGTAAGAGACTCCTCTACTGGGTATATATGATTTATGAATCTAAAGCCACAGAGAATATCACCACTGGAATCTCCATTCTCTATTCTGGTCACTGGGTTATTAAAAGTCATGTACACTTGGAAAAGTACTGCCTCTTGGGGAAGGGATGCCCATTTTCCATAGTAAGGCAATATTATCCTTTAATTGTTATATATATCCAAAAAAGCAGAAACAGTCATTGGAACCTTGACATTATTGAACAAACTATGTTTGCACAAACATCAGTGAATAACAAAGAGAGAGAGTCTTACAGATAAATCAGAGCGAGCTGTGCTTTTGCAGCGAACAAGAATCCAGGTTTTGTGATTTTTCCAACTAGATTTTCAGTACAATCATGAGCACAAAATACAGCATTCTCCCAATGTCCAAACTTACCTGACAAAGAACATGGTTTAATGACGAAACAGAATCCCACACCCAGCTGTCTGTGAAACTGGCTGTCCCTAAATCTGCAGAATTTCAAAGTGAGCTACAGGTGAAACAAGAGTCAGCCATATCAACAAAAGTGGCAGATCCCACAAAAACTGCATATGAAGCAGGATGCTTTCCAAAAGGTGGGACAGGTTCAAAACAAAAACAATTATCGTCTTCAAATGATGATTGTCAGAGACAGGAAAAAGAGTTCTCAGAGAAGCTAACTGCTAAGCTGAGCAAGGAGTTCTGTTTGATATTGCTATTTTAATAAAGCACAACTATCCATCACAGAGGATACCAATAAGTTTCAGCAGTTATTTTGTGCTTGTATCATTAATCCTCTCCCATCTGTTTCAAATGTTGCACTTTACCACAAAGCAAGCTTTATCAGGCAGGAAAAGGTGTGTCTCTTTCACCACATGCCCATGGAAAATGCAATGTGCTGGGCAAACACTGCATACGTAGCATAGCATACATGTAGAGCATACACGTAGTGATCTACATGCAGTTTTCAATCTTTCTCCTAGACAGATGTGCACCATGTAGGGGAAACAGCATACTTGAAACAGACCTCAGGTTTTGTTTCCATTAATATCACTGGTGTTTTTCTTTCCCCTCCTTGGCCGTCTGCATTTAAACCCCCACAGCCCAGTTGCATCAGATGTTGGCTGCACATAACAGAAGCCTGCCAAGAATTTCTAAGAAGATCAGGTGACACCCGGTGCTCCAATTCCTTCCCATCTCCCACACCCCCAGCTCGCATACTGAGGCTGGGCTTCCTAGCTAGGCTGTATTATAGCAAAGAAGCCAAGAAGATCAACATCTCTGCAGAATCTGGGAGACTCCAGAATCATCGTATCCTCTTCATATTCCCACTACTTGCAAAGGAATAGCTAGGTGAGTAATCACTTGTAGGGTGGGAACCAATGTGTATCTACCGAGGTCTTCTTTTAGCTCTACACTGATTTTGTTCTGAAAGCAAAGGCAACTGGAGTTGATCTCTGAACTTGGACGTGCCTTCTTTCTGTTTGCATTTGCATGGGAAAGGGACACCAATGCAATAAACAAAGGAACAGGCATTTAAGAGTGATTACTGCTCTTCAAATGGGGTCGGGAAGAGTCGGACTCAACTGTGCGACTGAACAACAACAACTGCTCTTCAATAGTTTGACTAATTCCATTCAATATTTAAGAGTGTTTGGGACTTTATGTCTTCGTTCCCACTGCTAGGTGAGTGGCAAGCTTGAGTGCTTCAACCTTGTTTCCACCCTGCACTGCATGGGGAAAGGGTGGACGAATATTTGCTGATTTGCTGGAAGTGGACAAAAAAGGGGAGCCATGCTGAAGAGTAGAGATGTGAAGGCCCGGGAAAAACCCGGACATATTAGGGGGGGGGACGGGTTTTTTCCATTTTTTTCCTGAAGCCTTTTTGTTTTTTCCCGAAAAATTGGAAAAATTGAAAAAAGAAACGAAAAGAAAAAAAATTGATTATGGAACGTTTTATTTTAACATGATGAATAAAATATTTTAAGACAAGGTGTTCAAATATTTTCCAAATAATGTCATACATACATACATACATACATACATACATACATACATACATATATATATATATATATGGTATCAGATTGATCTAATTTCTGTGCACTGAGGACAAGCAAGTCCTAGGTTACAAACTGAACTCTCCAATGCAAGAACAAGATGCATTTCTTCCTTTAGGAGGTGCGATTGTCAGAAGAAAATAAAAAAGTTTCAGTTTTGTTTTTGCATGTGGGTGGGTATTCTGTTTGTAATAATTGTTTGGATACACTATATTTTTAATATGCTAGTTGTGATAATTTCATGCCAAGTAAAAATGTCCATAGTCATATTTTATGTTCCTAAAGTAACAGAATGACTTTCAATCTAGAAAAGACAAAAGAAAGGCTAATTTTTCCGAAATTATCCATTTTTTCCCGGAAAAAAACCGGGGTTTTTTCCGAGCGTCAACATTTCTGGAAATTTTACATCTCTACTGAAGAGCTGTTCTTATCTATAAATATATCCCAGCTGCAAAGGTTATCATTTAAACTTAAGGGAAATGTTTGTCCTAGGACCACGGCCACTGGACCTGTAAGTACGTAAACAGCACAACAGCTTTAGCAAAATACTCAGTCTGGATGTAGGGATTTTTGCTCCCCAGGGTATGACTTCTATTACAGAAAAAGAGAGGAAGTCTTTCCTGTTATCTGGTCAGCAATCAATTTATTCCATCAAAAACAACATAAGGTACTTGGCTGTGGAAAGGTTGGGCCAATCTGCTTCAACTACCCTCTAGTCAGCAAGATGAAGTAGAATTTGAGATATACAAGGACAAATGGCTATCTGCTAATCTAACATAAAATCAGAAGTAGCTGTCAACGAGTCCTTGGAGATTCAGAAAAATTCAGATCACAACTGGGTATGCCACAAGCATTATCAAAGACAACTAAGGAAGAGGAAGCTGTGGATGGAAAGCCGTCCCATTTGAGATTAGTTCCGCAGCAGCATGTCACCTCTAGTTTCAGGCCATATACTCAGGCTACTTATGATCAGGATGACAAGAATAGAAGGAGTATTTGTATATATTTATTCAGATATTTATACTCTGCTTGCCTCCCCAATGGGAATCTGAAGCAGCTGGCAACTGCTCCATTCTATCCTCACCACAACCCTGTGGTATAGGTCACACTGAGGGGAAAAACCACCGCCCCAAAGTCCCCCTATTAAGCTCCCATGGCAGAGCAGGGATTCAAGCCTGGGCCTCCCAGATCCTCCTAATCCAGTGCTATAACCACTATGCCATCCTGGCTCTCTGTACTGGAGCACATGGGGGCCATTTTTGCCCAAATTAGCAAAGGGTAAGCCTAGAGTCGGATTCGACTGGCTTTCGAGCAAGGGAACCTTTACCTTTACCTTTTAAGCTAAGTACAACCTTTGTTAATTTAGTACAAATTAGCATGAAGCCCAGTTGAAATGAAAAAAGGTAAACACCAGAAGCATTGATACGAAGGTACCTACAATCGTATAGCTACTAAGGGTGTTACAGAACAGGTAGGCTTTTAGAACCACACCCCAAAGGTATTGCCACTTAGCCCAGGCCCAGAGCTAGGAATTTCTAAGTTGGGGGACATTTTAATTCCTCAGGAGGCACTGGCTAAACCAATTAAAGGCATTTTAATTAACTCACATGCTCCAGCTGGCCCCACGTTCATTTTGGGCCGGCTGGTGGGCTGCTTCTCAGTGCTCTTGGGACCTTGGTGTTCCGGCGGGGGGAGGCCTGGTCAGCACCAACACCACCACAGTTGGAGGCAGTGGTGGTGGCCCAAAAGCTAACAGCAACACTGTCCCGGGCGAGGCATGGGTCCACTGGGAGCAGCTGAATGGCCAGGGGGTGGAGGAGGAAGTGGAGCTGGAGATGGCAGCGCTGGAGTTCCCGGACACTGCCAGGAAGGAACTTGCTCTTGCCCACCGCTCCCATGGACTCGGTGGCTGCTGCTGCCCTGGCCAGCCCCGTGTTTGCCAAGAGGAACCACTAGGCTTTGGCTTTCCATGGCGGCAGCTCGTCAGCAGTGAACAATAACTGCAAGGTGGCAGGGGCAGCCTGGCTGTGTTGGCTGCTGAACTGGTGGGGGGGCAGCAGTGGCGGTGCGGAGGAGGAGCTGGAGCTGGAGGGGAAGGAGCTGGTGCAGGACAGGGGGTCATTGAGCAACAGCACTGAGGATGAGGAGGATGGCGAGGGAAGCAGCCTTGGCAATTGCAGCACTCCAGCTCGCCCCGTGTTCATTTTGCAAGAGTCTCTGAATCAGCATGAGTCACGGCGGCGGGGTGGGGAGTGCGACCGAGGTCACCTCTTGATCGGGGATTGGCCCAGAGAGAGGTATGGTGCAGGGGGAAGGCAAGGAGAAGTGGTGGTCGTGGCAGCACAGGGGGAGTTTGCGGAAGCAGCCTCATCTTGTCAGAGAGTTAGGGGGGCTGGGCTGAAAGGAAGCTGTGGGGCCTTGGCAAGAAGTTGGGGGGCCAGGCCCCAAAATGCCCCACTGTAGCTACAGGTCTGCCTTAGCCAAATACATCTTATTATAAATATACAGTGAGCCAGCTACAGAATATTTATGAAAGGTACACAAAACACCAGCCAATGTGATAGTTGTTCTTCCATTATCCCAAAAGCCCAAGCAATCACCAGCAAAAGATACAGCATTTTAGCAGCCTATCAATCCTGGCTAATGCTGCTCCCATCCTTCCTCCTCACAATCCTCTGGCTTTGCAGAGCAACCATATAAATCCTTCAGTGAAGCAAACAGTATCTTTGCTTCTTGTTCATGAGGGATGCTGGGACCAGCCATAAACTTTATGAACATCATATTCTTTCAGGAAAGGAAATACAAGATTAAAAGGGCTCAGGGTTTGTGCACACAAGGATTTATGGCATCAGCAGTGGAACTTGGCTTCTCACAGAGAATGAAGCTTCCCATTTTCAGCCCTCTGCCAGCCAGCACAGTTATTCTTTCAGAAGTAGGGAA